AAGGTTCGTCGCTGTTTCAGAGGAATGCAATGAAAGCATGCCTTCTGCTTGTTGGTAGCTACTTGCTGTTTGGCTCTTCAGCCCTGACCATGGAAGCAGTATGTTCCTCCGAAACGTCGAGCTTCTACCGGAATACACGGCATCACACCCCAGAAGATGCTATTATTCAAGTATGATAACTCTAAATACTCTGAAAATGAAACACGCAGCACTAAAAGTGAATGTTAACAGGAATAGTCAACACATACAGTACGAGGGGCGTTCAAGTTCTAAGGTCTCCGATTTTTTTCTCAGGACTGGGAGCAGATAGACACATGCGGTTTAGTTTAAAATACGTGTGCACTCTTTGTGAATGCATGACAGAGATGGCAGCACTTTACGGCACACAGAACTCTAGTGGTAGCGGCGAGAGTGAGAAGTGTTTTTGATTCTTAAGATGGCGACGTTTTCGTTACAAGAACAGCGAGTAGTCATTCGTTTTCTCCACTTGCGTGGTGCGACACCCATTGAAATTCATCGCCAGTTGAGTGAGACGTGTGGTGATGGTGTCATGAATGTGAAAAATGTGCGTTCGTGGGTGCGACAGTTCAAAGAAGGCCGAACGTCGTGTGACAACGAACCAAAACAATCTCGGCCTCGCACCAACCGGTCTGAAAACATGGTCGAGCGAGTTGAGAAAGTTGTTTTGGAGGATCGCTGATTGAGTGTGGAAAACATCGCCTCCAAAGTTGGCATTTCCGTGGGATCTGTGAACACAATCCTGCATGAAGACCTGTGAATGCGGAAAGTGTCCTCCAAGTGGGTGCCACGAATTCTGACGGATGACCACAAGGCTGCACGCATGGAAATTTGCCAGGCGATGTTGACACGTGATGAAGGCATGAGTGGGACTTTCTTTTCATCAACTGTGACAATGGATGCGACATGGATGCCGTTTTTCAATCCGCTATTGCATCAGCAATTTTCCAGTGGTCAAAACACACTTCTACAGAAGCGTTCGCAGCGGCCATGGAATCATGGCGTCGACGTTGTGAAAAATGTGTACGGCTGCAGGGAGATTACGTTGAAAAGTGACAGAAATTTCAAATTTTTTGTATGATTGTGTGAGAAAAAAATCGGAGACCTTAGAACTTGAACGCACAACGTATATTCGCCATCACACACTACCTTCACAGCCCGGGGAAAGAACCTCCAGTTCCTTATACATTAATATAATACACTATATACACCAGGCATGTCCAACTTCAAGAGGTTGTGATCGACTTTATAATGTCAAAACTGCCAGTGATCTACCACCCCCTCCCATCTTCGTACCTCGCTTTAAGCAAAAATATTGGTAAAAATAACACGAAACAAGATGTTTGTTGTAAAAGCAACATACTCGTACATTGAAAGTACAGACTACTTTAATACGTATTTTCCCTTCAAAATCTGAATATAATCATATTATATTACATGTGAATTTACATGCTTTTCACGTATAATTTCATTATAGGCCTATGAGATCGACCAAAAATCGTCACGCGATCGACGCGTTGGACATGCCTGATATACAGCGTCTCAATAATTCTAGCTACATGTCTTGTCTACTAAGTACACTCGTTTTTTTTTGTTTGTAAGGAAATTCCTGTTGAAGTGTAAAGTTGGCAACATTGGCCAATATACTGCTAAGTATCGTTACTGAAGTAAAATTTAACATTAACAACTTTTGTGGTATAATAATTGTATACAAGAATGTGTGACGCAAATATGCACATACATACATACATACATGAGCACGCGGTAGCGTAGCTGATTGAGGCAGATTCCCAACGAGGTCGTTGGATTTTTCAATTGACCTAATCTTTCCAGCCGCACTATGGCCCTGGCGTCGACTCAGCCTCTAACAGAAATGAGTGCCAGGAATCATCCTGGGGGTAAAGGACGGCCGGTGTGTGAGGCCGAAAACCTCACCGCCGACCCTAGAAAATGTGAGATCCTTGACGTCTCACAGCCCTATGGGCCTCGACGGCTTGTTACAGGGATAACTTTACGTTTAATATATATTATTAGGAACACAGCATAGTGCTCAAATACAACACTCCACAGTTTGGGGTCACTGAAGGCCGTGCCACATAGCTCACGTGGTTAGTCGCCGACTTCCTACCACGGCAGCCCGGGTTAGAGACCAGGTCAGGTGGGATTTGTGGAGGACAAAGTGGTGCTGGGGAAGGTTTTCTCCGAGTACTTCGATTTCCCCTGCCAATTCTCATTCCACCAACTAATCCACATTCATTACTTATCACATTATCTGATGCTATACAACTTCGATCCTGACAGCGAGGTTAAACAATGAAATGAACATCATTACCTCTGTTGGAAAGGGTCGAAATGATAGTACACTGTTTGACAAGAAAATATGAGATACTTTGAGATCAACAGAAGCCACGCAAGTACGTTATCTCACAAGTTCGTGTATCTGTCGTGTTGCTACTAACAATTGTACGATATTAAATCGTTCTACATTTGAGTAGCCCCTAAAAGCATACATAATCAGTCAACTGCTTATAAATTTGAAACGGAGGGACTGGCATGAACAGACAAAACGGTGACGTCATACGCCTTTCTTTTTTCCCACTTCGAAAAACGGCATTACAGAACGATATACGCGTCTTGTTTTGAAATGACAGAATTATATGGAACTCGGCACAATAGTCCGGGGAGGTCGCTCCAATCACGGTACCACACACACGGCCTTGTGGCCAGGAACTGATGTATACGAATGACTTTTTTATGAAGACTATTCACGCAGGTGTTCTCAATACGCTCTCACAATCACGTAGGCATAGCGCGTCCTTAAGTTACACGTATCAGCTTCAACATTACGCAGCTTAACTAAACGTACATACCAAAGTAGTGGAGTTTTCTCTGTGCTTAATCGCGCAGCACGCCATTAAGACGTATGGGGGAGTGGAGGAATAGCTCCACCACTCCTGATCTCGGCACTAGGCGGAATTCAGTGGTCAGTTTCATGTCCCGGCCGCTTTACCGCCGGTACCCACTGGATAAGAGGTTGGGTGTGCTCCCGAGCCGTTCTGGTCGCTGTGGAGAAGACAAATATCGCTTGTCCTTGCTAGGAACCAAACCCCGGTACTCCAGTCTGTAGCCCGTTGATATACCGACTAAGCTATCACATCCGCTTCAACATACTAAAATTATACATTCTGCTTACAAAGTGTATTTCTTTGTTTCGTATGGTTCTCACAGTAAACAGCGATTGCTTCCTTAAACACGTCAAAGTCACGTTACGACCGACGGTCAGCCGACGAGTCAGTTTTGGTGTCAAGCCCCATCTGGTGTCCAAGATCAGATTTTTGTTACTGTCAGACAGCTGCGGTTTTGTTGATGCGGATCACCCTCTTTGACGAGAGGACGGGTGTCGTTTACTGCGGTCTTCCATAAACAGTATTAACCGGTAGATCTTAACAACGGAGAGGTAATGTGTTTCCCATGGCGTACGAACTTGATTTGTATATATTCTTTAGAAGAAACTGAGTCTCTAAAGCGTTAATTCGTAGATAACACGAAAATCTCCTTCAACAGCACCGCGAATTGATGTAGGCTATAGCTTATACACAACACAGAATCTTCAATTACCCATCAGAAACGCGATACAGTAAAAGGTAAAGCTGTCCCTGTGCTTAACTAATTAAGCATTACGCCATGAGTGGAAGAGTGATGTATCGACCCACGTTATCTTGACCTCGGCACTAGTTGGTGGTGAGTGGTTAGCTTCACGCCCCTGCCGCTTTACCCCCGGTACCCATTGGATAAGATGCTGGGGGGAGGGGGAACAGAGCAAGTTTGGACGACGTGGAGAACAGAAAATTCTTGACCCTATCGGAGCTCGAATTCAGACCCCTGTGTCGTCCAGCCCGCAGCCAGTCGCTATACTGACTGCGCTCTCCGTGTTCCCCGATATAATACCGCAGTAAACAATTCTGTAGCAACAGCGTAGCAATTTAACTGTAGGCTGGTTATTTTCCATAAAAATCAGGGGCAATTTATCCAGTTACACCTCACAAAAGGAAAGAAATGTCTGGAGATACCGTATGTTCAGATCATTAACTCCACACATTATCTGTCTGCACAACTCATACATCTGGATACAGCCAGTAAATTCAAGGATATGAATTACATATTCGTGACGAAAAGCCACAGAGCAGAAAGTTTTGTTTTCTGCGGGTCACACACACGTTCAAGACCGTTAGCAATTAATTGATACAGCGGAGTCGAGCATGGCACTACCCTGAACTTGGTTCTCCCGCTTACAACTTTTCTATTAGTTATACCAACACACAGCTTTCTGCTTCTACCTTGCAAGCGCCGTTTTCAAATTCACTTTCAGTGTTACATTCTATTAATACTGGTCTGTGGGGGGGGGGGACTCTGTGGTTTTAGTCTGCAAGCGAACTATACTGACCGAGCGACCGCCGCTTGTCGGCGAAGTTAGTGCCAACTTTTTCGGATAGAGGGTGTCGCGAGGTCAGGGCAACGGATCCCCACGGCCGTTAATTTCGGTTTTCTGGACCGGAGCCGCCATTTCCTTGAAATAGCTCCTCAATTATCCTGACGAGGCTGAGCGGACTCCGTTCCAGACCCACTACTTCTCAGAACATCTGGTAGCGCCAGGAATCGAACCCGGTACCTCTGGATCTGTAGCCTGGAACTCTGACCAATAGACCACAGACGCGGTCTGTACGACGTCCATAAAATTGTGGTAAAATACAACGGGTGGGGGATTTTCATAAAGACCACAGGCTTTTAGTTTCGTGCACCCAATAGGAGTTCAAAACATGTTTAAATGTGCATATTTATTTTATCCGCGTCGGATGTTCTGAACTACAATTTGGTTTAAAAAGAAAATAACTGATAAGTCACGTTTGAAACAGAACAAAGGTTAACGGAACACACATGTAGGTAAATGGAACAAAATGATAAGAAGGATCTGAGTTACTTACGTGTTACAGCTGATAAGAAAAAAATACTTCACCACAGAACTCTACAGAAATAACACTTAATCGACTGTTTCAGTTGACTGATCAAACTGATACGAAGTTATAATTACTGGACGAATTTATGTTTCCGAAGGAAGAGAACTTTCAACAGCAAGGCGTCACTAACAAGTAAATTTCACCATATCCGAAAAATCCTTTAAAATGACTGCACTACCTCACGACACTATAAATCCTACGCGACTGCTTGCGACCGTTTGGCTTGCTACTCTCGTTGCACACGGCACGTATATTTCATACATCCACACGTGCCACATACCAAATGCACACAAACGAGGCGGAAATAAAATCAGCGATGATACAACTGATCACATCACCTGAAATCACCTGTTCTTTCAGGATAAGTGTCTAAAATTTCGAGAAATCTGATGACCAACCACTTAGATAAACTAATGAGGAGACAGAACCATTAATATTAGAGGCGAGATAAAATGGAGTGCGGTACCAAGCGCTATAACGTTACCACCTAACGTGGCTTCCTTCCAGTACTGCTGGAAGAGAAAGGCACGCGATTGCCACTAATACACGTACTAACCACTGGAGGGGAACAAATGAAACAGAGAGTGAAAACGTTTCCTTCCATCCTTGCCACTGAATCTCACGGCCATTTGAATAATTGGCTTGCTGCTAACCTTACCTGAGGAGCAGACTACTGAGAATTCTAGTGACACAGACCGTTACGTCACCATTATTTTATTTTCAGCATGCTTCCGGTATTCAAACGCCGACGGAAAACTCAAATATACATATACACAGAGCTTTCCTTCTGTAAGGATGTAAGGTTGGTCTAGAAGTAAACGCAGAGAAAACTAAGTACATGTTACTGTCTCGTCACCAAAATGCAGGGCAGAAGCATGACATAAAGATAAGAAACAGATATTCTGAAAATGTGGCACAGTTCAGGTATTTGGATACGACGATAACAAATCAAAACCTGATTCAGTCCTGAGGAAATTAATAGACTGAACTCGGGTAATGCTTGCTACCATTCAGTCCAGAACCTTTTGTTTTCTCGTCTGCTGTCCAAAAACATAATCATTAAAATATAGAAAACTATAATTTTGCCTGTGGTTCTGTATGAGTGTGAAACTTGGTCTCTGACATTAAGGGAGGAACAGAGACTGGGGGTGTTTGAAAACAGGGTGTTCAGGAGAATATTTGGACCGAAGGGGATGAAGTGACAGGAGGTTGGAGAAAACTACATAATGAGGAGCTTCATAGCTTGTAGTCTTCTCCAAGTATAATTAGAATGATCAAGTCAAGGAGGATGAGGTGGGCAGGGTATGTAGCACGAATGGGGGAGACGAGGAATGCGTATAGATGAAAGCTCTGATATTATGCAATTCTGGGTTACCACAGCAACGAACTGTCAAGTGTTCACATGTTCCATCAATGTAAGTTAAGCAGCACGTCACGAATAACCAAGCATTCTTTTCAGTGTATCGTATCTATTATGTGTGTACTGATGATGTTTTCAAGTGTAGTATTAACAGGAATAGGTTTGACTGTGGACACAGAAATATTTAATTAAGTAAATGAAAGTAACACTCTCAACAGCTGATTTATTTTAGTGGCTACTACAAGTTTCGATACTTACGGGACCATCATCAGGTAGTTTTATAAATGTCTGTAGTTACCTGAATGTCTAAGAGCGGCCGCACACCAACTGTGTCAAGACATGAGATAAAAGTCGCAGTCTTGCTTCATTCGTGATTCGTCGGCATGAAGCTGACGTCAGCATCATGACTCAGCCCGGTGTGCGGCGGTTTTCTTAATCTCATTCGTTTCAACTGTGCTCCTTCCTTTGCGTCATGTCGCAGACATCGTGTCTTGACTGTTACATGTCTTGACGCATTCCGGTGTGCGGCCTACCTTATATGGCCTCACAGACGTATTTGTAGAACTACCTGATGATTGTCCCTTAAGGACCGAAACATGTAGTAGCCACTGAAATAAACCAGGTGTTGAGTTTTTTTTCGATGGCTCTTCCAGCCCATTCAGGGCCCAGGCCTCTTATTTAGTTCCGTAATAATTTTCCACAGACCGTAGGACTCCTTGCACGAGTGATCAGCCCGTCGCAAGGCCGCTACCTAAACACAGGATAACACAAATACAGAATAAACGCATACACACACCAAACATCCATGCCTTGTGTAGGATTCGAACCTATGATCCCAGCGTCCGTGTGAGCGAAAACAGTCTTAGACTGCGCGGCTACTGTGACCGTCAATTGTTGAGAGTTATCTTGGGTTATTTAATTAAATATTGTTGTGTCGACGGCCAAACATTTTCCCGTTAATTCACAACAGGATGCATACAAGTACGGATGTGTAGCAGCGGTTTAGAATTAGTACTTCTGCGTGATATTTGGAGGAGATAGCGTTACGCGTCGTTCTCGGTTTATCATTCGATAACACGCAGATGTGGACAGGACTACATGAGAGAGTATGAGGCTTCCCGTTGAATTCTCAACGGGTGTTACAATAATACACGTAAATACACAAATAAATGAGAAGCCAACTGCATATGATGATGTTAATCATTTTATTTACCAAATCAGCTGATGATACCGTGCAAATAATTTTTTTAGTGTAATCCCACTTATTTATTATCATTTATCATACATGGTGTGTTAACAATTATTTATTTTTAATTCGCTTAGTGGGGGGTGGAGTCCAACTGGGTCCACTCGGCACGGCGGCCACTGATTGGCCTATTGTAGCCTGCCCCGGGTGATTATGATGATGGAGAATTTGGCGGAATGAAGACTGGCAGGGGAAAGTACTCGGTGAAATGTCTTGCACGAAGGTTGTTACTTTGAAGGGGACAAAGTTAATTTTGATGAATAAATGAATAACTAATTTAGTACAAAATTAATCTCATTACGCAGACCGCGCCATAGCTCAAGCGGTTAGTCGCTGGCTTCACAACGCGGCGGCCCGGGTCTGGTCAAGTGGGATTTGTGGTGGACAAAGTGGCGCTGGGGAAGGTTTTCTCCGAGTACTTCGCTTTCCCCTGCCATTCTTCATTCCACCAGCTGCTCCACAATCACCCTCACCTTTCATCTAGGGATGGTACAATAGGACAGAAGTGGCCGCAGTATAAGGGACTTAGTCCCACCCCACTAGCATAAAAAAATTTCATTACGCATCTGTGGTCTAGTGGTCAGACTTCCTGGCTACAGATTCAGAGGTCCCGGGTTCGATTCCGGGCGATACTAGATTTTCTGAGAAGTAGTGGGTCTGAAACAGAGTCCACTCCGCCTCGTGAGGATAACTGCGGAGCTACTTGAATGGAAAAGTAGCGGCTCCGGTCTATAAAACTGAAATTAAAAGCCGTGGAATCCGTTGCGCTGACCACGTGACACCTCCTATCCGCAAAAGTTGGCACTAACTTCGCCGAAAAGCGGCGGTCGCTCTGTCGGTATAGTTTTCTTGCGGACTAAGACCACGGAGTTTTTTATTAATCTCATTACATTGTTAACACACCTCGTATATCGTCAACTAACACACAAAATCCAACATAAATGCGTTGAAGTTACATGATAAATGATAATCAATAACGTTATGCATTACATCGGTATGCAATTCAACCTTAAAACATGTAATCCCATTGTATGTCTTGTTTGACACGGATTACGATGAAATACATTTTGAAAGTCTGCATTATAAAAACGAGCATGCGCTTTAATAAAACGGCCGGACAATGAAATCAGCCCTATGTGAACTCCGTTTTGCACAATGACAAAGTAGATTAAAACTTACAATTCCATTCACACAGCGGAACAGCGTTAAAATGAATCACATATCAGTCTACATTAGGCGTAATTAATGACGGCTTTCGCTCCCTCGATAAAATAACCCCAGACATTCTTTCCATCACCACAATTCAACATACAAACAAAAACGTAACATCTATAGGTAACAAGTTTATAATCCTTCACCGCATTAAATTTGGCATGATTAAAGATGTCACTTCTCGCCACAGAATAAAAGAAAATATTTCGCTGTCTAGCCACGTTGCTACTTTACATTTATACAAAAATTGCCATAACACCTCCTTATCTTTAACTGGCCTTTTACCGCACATGGGGGCAAGCGGTGGTGTATTTGGTTGAGGCACTATGCTACAAGCCGAAAGTCTGCGGGATCGAATCTCGATGAGGTCATCGGATTTTCCAATTGACCTAATCATTCCAGCCGCACTATGGCCCTGTGGTCGACTCAGCCTCTAACAGAAATGAGTTCCAGGAATCTTCCTGGAGAGTGAACGGCGGGCGGCGTGTAGGGCTGACAACTTTACTGCCATTTGTGAGACGATTGTCTAGAAAATATGGGAGCCTCGACGTCTCACAACCTTATGGGCCTCCATGGCCTGTTACGGGGATAGCTTTATCTATTACCATACAAACTGTTCTTGATTGTACATGTAATTGAGCTGGTTCAGCTGCTCCTTTGGGGTAGAACGAGTCCTTAAGCGACGACCGTGAGTATTTGAACGCAGAAATTAACAGTACCAGATGACTAAAATCCTGGTATGAAAACAATATTAACGGTATCTGGATAAATGCGTTAGTTTCCTCATTTCCCTTTGTCCCCTCGCAGTCAATGCCATGACACGACAGTCAGGTAACAAATAATTTCTGCTCCGTGGTAGGAAACATGAGGCGTCAGTGAAGCACGGACTATTTTACGCCACTTGACAACTATCAGTTCATTTCAGTAACGGCTGATCTGTGAATCTACTTAAATGGATATGACAATACATGCAGCACGTATGAATTAAGTGATAAATAAATAACGATTTTTGTCGGAAAATTTCGGAGAAAGAACCACTTTGAAGACTCGAGAGGTGATGAGAAGGTAATATGCGAGTAAGTTTAGAGAAGGCCGCGCCATAGGTCAAGCTGTTAGTCGCTGGCTTCCCACCGCGGCGGCCCGGGTTCGATCCCGGGTCTGGTCAAGTGGGATTTGTGGTGGACAAAGTGGCGCTGGGGGGGTTTCTCTGGGTACTTCGGTTTCCCCTACCCATCTTCATTTCACCAAGTTCTCCATCATCATAATCACCCTGGGCAGGTACACTAGGCCAATCAGTGGCCGCCGTGCCGAGTGGACCCAGTTGGACTCCACCCCCCACTAAGCGAATTAATTTTTTTTAAGCTTAGAGAAACAGGGTGTGAAGGTATGGATTAGATTCAACTGTATCTGTACACGGTTCAAATGGCGACATTTACATGCTTCACGCTGTTTTCTTGCTTGGCTTAGTCTTCGACCCTGAAGATGGAGGAGACACGTTTCTCAAAAACGCCGGTTGACTTTCACCGGACTACACGGCGTTAAATTACAAAAGGCCGCAATCTTCACAACCACCGCTGTGAGAGACCCTCACATCCAAAATAATTATTCGATTCTATACAGAACAAATATTGTGGAAGG